CAACATATTTATTGTGATAAAGAAACTACCGTTTTTCAGCTTTTTAACTATGAAAAGAGAAAAAGATTAAAATAAAGATGACTAAACAGAAAAATATCTTCTTATCTTGTCTACAGAAAATCGGCATATATGAATGAATTGGCACTTTCCTACAGATTCAAACTAAAGTCACTGAATCTTATTTCTGAGTGACGCTTTAATGTTCTTGTGGAAAAAACTTTACAGTCTTTATACGACCTACACAGATATTGATACATGAATCTTTATAATAAGGGAGTATTTAGAGGTCTATAGTTGGTCAATGAATAGGGCAAACAAAACAAAAGTATCGATTGTTTGTTATTTTCTATGGTGGATCCAGTCGGGCCCCAGGACATCTATGAAGTTCAAAAATGAGGACATCGATAGAGGGTTAATTCTGTTATGTTTGATTCCGACTATTTACTTTTTAATGTTGTATTATCCTCTTGCCAATACGATGTTGCGCTGTTTTGTGCTTGCTGATCGTGAGTTTTATTTTTCCGTGCTTGCTGCTCTTGCATTTTCCTTCTTTGTGCCTTCCGTTGTTGCAGGATAGAATCCAAGTTTTCTAATACGGTTTGGTAAGATCTCGGCGTTATCTTCCTCTGAATCGCTTGCAGACCCGTTAACCAACCGTATTCAGCAACATTATCTAGTGCCAAGTTATACAAATTTTGTCTAGTCGAAATATTATGCTTTTTCAACAATGAGAATAGTTGAGATCGATAATATTCGCGTAGTGCCTGAAATAGTATTGGCTGACTTCTATTTAATTGTTGATTCATTACATCTTCAACGATATATTCAGAATATTTTGTTATTGATTGCAAACCATCATTTGTGATTGAAAACCATAATTCGTCGCAGACATTTGTTTCTTCCATGCATTGGTTATTGAAAACACTTGCTTCCTCTAAATATTGATCATCGAAGATATTTGCTTCAGTTAAGCATTGATCATCAATACTTTCAAATAAAAGTTGCACGACAATTGATAAAATCGGACAATGTTTCATAAATCTATTACCATATTCAGCTGTACGATTTAAAACACGTTCATATATATCACGATTTTCTCCATTTTCATATTCTTTAAGAAATGAAATAAACCATTGATTAGATGTGCCATATTGTGTTTCCCACTTTTGTTGAAAATATTTTTTTAATGAGATCATCAATTTATTGTCATTTTCATTCATTGCATCTGTATAAATTTCGGATATAATATCTTCTTCGTATTCAACTAATGATCGTCGACCATTCTCTAATAAATCATTAACCATTTGATCTTTGTTTTTATTTTCATCTAGCTGTAAAATTTCTATAATATCATTTGTAGTTGATTTCACTA